ATGCTTATATTTTGGATTTGCTCAAAATAATCTGATGCTCTTAAAAAGAAGCACTGGATCTTTCTCATCCTATTAAAAGAATATTACTTTCTAGAGACACTGTTTTTAATGTATCCAATTACTAGATAATTATTTGTTTTTCCTTCAACCTCATTAGACATGTAAGAGTATTGCCATGGTATCACTGCTAAATTTAAAAACCCAAGCCCCATTCTTTGCCCAGCAGGCAAGTTTGGGAGACTTGAATGGATAAAGGGAGTAGATGGAAATGCCATGAGAACCTGGAAATTAAGCTGATGATCCGATGAGCTGATGATCCTGTATGGAATTCAGATGGTCATGACACACCCAAGACTAGTCACCCTAACCACTCAGTCACTCCTGGAGTACCAATAGAGCCTCGGGACCCTCACTTTGCACAGCAGATCCCTCCTGTCTCGACCGCTGCTTCTCTTAACAGTGTATTTCAGTAAGTCCACCTGTTCTGTTTTCTACTCAGTAGCTCCGGCTACACCCAACTCTCCCCTATGACAAGTATCAGATGAAACTGAGGGGTAAGCTAGTGCTTAGGTAACTTACTCATTGGTAGAGCAGGTATGTTAACAGTTACTAATAACAGTTGCTGTTTATTGAGTGCTTACTAATGAGCAAGCCCCATGTACTTTATAGAAGTGATTTAATATATGAGATTGGAAAATAACTATGATTAATATCCCCATTTTACTGATAGGAGAACTCAAACTTAGTGGTTAAGTAACTTGCTCCTTGTAATGAAGCTAAGAATTTGATCTGACTATATCTTTATCATACCATTTGGGAGTACATGGTAGAGATGTTGGTTTTTCATCCTACTCCAGGCCTGGCTCAGTGCCCAGCACATAGTAGGGGTTTCATACAAGTTTGTTCAGTGAATACAGTGACTATATAAACAAGCAAGCTCACTGGCTGGCTTCACTTAAAAGTTGTTTTGATAAAGGCGTTTTGACTAAGGCTGGGTGAAGCAACTTGCCTGAAAGCTGAGTTCAGTGCTGCGGGTATAGTCTCTGGTCCTCCTGCACGTTTCTTCCAAAGCCAGCTCTTACTAGGAACTGACAGAGAAAAGACCTCATCAATGGCACTAAGGTAGGGACATCCACACTGGTCCTAACTCTGGGTGGACAACTGAAGCTTTGGGACCTTGACCAGGGTGGCCGCTTTGTCTTTAAAAGTCTGACCAGTTGGTTTTTGGACAGTCCCTCCTCCAGGGCCTGGCCCTATGAATGAATGCCTAAACCTGGACTGTTTACATCTTTCAGGGCACCCAGAGCATCTCCTACAGAGAACAGAGAGAAAGGTGACCTACAGGATAACAACTCATTAAACCCAAACTCCAGGCAAAGATATGCGCCCATGTGCAAATTTGAAAAGTGCAGACAGATGAATTATAAGAAAACAACACTTGCTTCCTGCCCTCCCTGCTGCTGGGAAAAGGCCCTTTCCTGAGGGGCCAGGCCTGGGCAGTCCCCCTAACTGGAAACAGGGTAACTTTTGCAGGTTGTGCCTTGCATTCAGGGGACTGCTAAGAAGTTGACAGCAGTTCTTTGCTTACAACCTCCAGGATCAATACCCTCTACACAGTAAGTGTGCAACACTGGGCTCTCAGTCTGTGTGCTTTGATTCTATCACCCAAGGAAGAGGGCTCAACGCCTCTCTCTTGGCTCTAATTGAATCTCTAGTTCACCTTATCTTCATCTTAAGTCCCTTCTCACACTCAGAAAAGGCCTTCCCAGGCTTCAGACTTCCTTATTAAGAGATGCTTCCAAGACTTGACACATCTATAATGATTTAACGTCTGTATTGTCTAGCTCACTCTAGAATGTGAGCTCTAGGAGAGAAAAGGGCCATGTAATCTTTGGCCAGTCTTTGCATTCTCAGGCCTTAGCACAATGCCAGCACATAGAAGACACCCAGGAAGTATCTGCTGGATAGATAAGAGTTTGATGAGAGTTAAGAAGTAGGAGAAATGTAAACTTTAATGTTGATTTCATTTCTGACAAAATCTTGAATGTGTGATAAATAATTATATTTAGGTAATGTGGAGTCAGAAATTTTTTTTTTTAAGATTTATTTATTTATGCATACAAGAGCTGGGGTATAGGCCAGAGATACGGAGGGATGAGAGGACCCACCAGAGTCAGAGTGGGGAACAGAACAGGCAGACTGATGGAAATACACTGCTGAGGGGAGCAGCAGGCAAGACAGGAGAGGTCTGCTGCACCATGTGGGTTTCTCCCTGGCCAGCCAGGGATTGAACTCGAGCTGCAGAGGCTGCAAACTGCTTCATACTGCAGTGCTTAACCCCTTGCGCCACCAGTGAGGCCCAAGAGTCAGGAATTCTTAATCCCACATTGTCTTTTCTTCTCACCTACCTATCTGCAGCTTGCCCATCCTTCCACACAGCAGCAGAAATCGGCCAATGAAGGAGAGGCTGACTTACTGTAGATTCCAGAGGCTGTGAACATTCCAGGACCATAGAGTGGGGTACATTGACTTTGAAAGGCAAAGCAGCCTGTAGCTTTAAGAGAAGAAATGGAATGTCAGAGGGACTTTGGAAGGCAGAGGAGAGCACTTGGATGGTTCCATAAGCCTGGATCATTAGGTTCTAGGAAGGAATAGGCAGGGGGCAGTGATGTGCTCCATTGAAGGCTGTAGAGGTTGCAAAGGTTGCAGGGGAGGCTGAACTTTCAACGTTGTGATTGCAGCAACCCCTCCAGAGAGTTGTTACTTACAAGGCAGAATAGAGGAAGCAGATAGTGGGATTGCTCTTAGGTTGACAACTGACAAGAGGCATGTGGTGGAATATCAGAGAGCAAAGGCCTGAAGTGTCAGTAAGAACAAATCAGAGGTGCCTAATACAGGGATTCAGCCTAGTCAGCGAAGCAGAGACCAGAAGGAAGGGCTGAGGTGATGGGGGTGAAGGTGAAGTGGAGTAAGAGATTTAGTAGGAGCCAGGAGGTGATGGCTCTCAGCCAGGGAGTGAGAGACTAATTTACATGTTAGACCCCGGCCTCTTGGAGAGGTGGTGTGCACAATACTTTTTTTTTTTAAGATTTATTTTATTGATACAAGAACCGGTAGAACCGGGGTACAAGCTAGATGCACGGGAGGGTAAGATGATTCACCAGAGACAGAATGGGAAACAGAACAGAATGACAGAAACACACTGGTGAGGGGAGCAGCGGGCAAGACAGGAGAGGTCTGCCCCTCCATGTAGGTTACTCCGCGGCAGGCAGGGATCGAACCGGTGCTGCAGAGGCTACGGACAGCCTCACAGCGCTGCGCTCAACCGCCTGCCCCACCAGGGAGGCCCCACAATACTTTTAAGATGGCATTTTTGCCAGCAATAATTGAGGGATAGAAACTGAGAAGCTATTTGCACAGGTAAATTTCTTGTTACCCTCGACGGTATTTATTAGGCATTCTGTCACTGACAGGACTGCAAGGCCAGCTGCCACAAGAATGTATCTAAAAGGAATAGGAATTGCTCTGCCCCTCTGTAAGAAAGAGGTAGCAAAGCCTGGATTTCCAAAATCATAACATCCTGGCTGCCTCCACAAATCCACGAATCTGGACTCAATCTGAGATACCCAATTAAAGTTTTAAAATGTGTCTTCCTGGGAACATGCGGCTCTTCATGTCGCTCCCAGTACATGCCACTGCCGGATGCGTGTGTGTGCGTGTGTGTGCATGTGTGTGTGTGTGTGTGTGCGCGCGCGCGCACAGCTACGGGTCAGAGACGTGCATGCCCGCAGCGAGGGCGGCCTTAAACACAAATGACCAGTCCCGCCACCCTGTCGCCCTGAGAGGATCTGGCCGCCAAAGCCAGGGGAAAAAAAAAAAAAGGCAAACACACACACACACACACACACACACACACACACACACAATATCCCCAGGGGCTTTTTTCCCTCCCTAGTCAGCCAAGAAAACAGGCGCTTCACTTCCCCGGAAATTAGCTGCCCAGGGGAATTCATTCGATCCTGCGGGCTGGGCAGCTCCCGGCGGAAGCCAGATCGCGGGCAAGCGGGGAAAGGGCCCCAGAAACCAAAAAAGACGGTTCTCCGACACCGCGTCCAGCCCCCGCCCCGCCCCCGCGCGCTCGGCTCCGCGGCTGGGGCCGGCTGGGGCCAGCGGGGCGGGCGGGCAGCCCGGCGCTCCCCGGCGCCGCGAGCTCCCGCGGAGCCGCCGGCGCGCCGCCCCGCCAGGTGCCGCGGCTCGGCCCGCCCGGGCGCGCGCCCCCCGCCGCCGGGCACGGGCGGCTCAGCAGCCGAGATTCTCCACGGCGCAGGCGGCGGCTTCCGGGGCCGCTCGGAGCCCGGGCTCCGATTACAGGTTCACACGGGGGGCCCGGGCCGCGGCCGCCCAGCCCCCGCCGGCGCGCCCTCGCGCGGCCCCGCTCCCCGCCGGCCCATTCTTCTCCATTCACGCGGACGCCCCGCGCCGCCGCCGTCGTCGCCGCCGGCGCGGCCGCCGTCGCCGCCGCCGGCCGCCTGGATTGGCTGGGTTGGCTGGCGGCCGCGGCGCCGGCACTTTCCCACGGCCCGCGGCGCGTGCGGCTCACCGGCGGCGCTGCAGGCGCGGCCCTGGCGTGCGGCCAGGCCAATCGGGGCGCGCGGGGTGGGGCGGGGCCGCGGCCGCCGGCGGGCTTGTGTCCCGGCCCGGCCTCCCCCGCCTGCCCGCCGCCCGCCGCCCGCCGCCCGCCGCCCGCCGCCCGCCGCCCGCCGCCCGCCGCCCGCCGCCTCCTCCTTCCCACCCAGAGGAGCCCCCGCGGAGCCCCCGCGGAGCCGACGCACCGCCGCAGAGCGGGGGCGGGGACGGGGGCGGGGGCGGAGCTGCTGCCAATCAGGGAAGCGACAAGCCGGATTGGCTGAAGGGAGACGGTTGCCCGGGAGCCTCCGCCCCGCCCTCCCGCCCCCTCGCCCGCCCCCTGCACTCCCCCGCCTTCCCTAGGGCCCTGGGAAGGGGCGCAGCGTGGGAAAGGGATGGTTGAGTTTTAACCGGAGGCTGAGCGCGAGCGGCATCAGTGTGCTCGGGACGCCAGCAGCCCAGCGCGGAGAGGCGCCGCTGCTCTTAACTCCTCCCTGCCCGCCGCGCCGACCCGCCCCGGAGCCCCCGCGCAGCCAGCATGAAGCGCGCCCACCCCGAGTACAGCTCCTCGGACAGCGAGCTGGACGAGACCATCGAGGTGGAAAAGGAGAGTGCGGACGAGAATGGGTGCGTGTCGCGTCGGGAGGAGCCCGGGCGGGCAGCGAGCAACGCCTGGCCGCGCTGACAGCGGCCGGGGCCGGCGCCGTGCCCGACCCTGACCTCTGCGCGGCGCGGGCTGACCACCGCCCTCCCGGGCCAGGGCCCCGCGGTGCCCGCAGCCCGGCGCGCCACGGCGGTCTGAGCGCGGGGAGGGCTGGGGGCGAGCCTCGGATCACCGCCTTTGGATTAAGGGCGATTTCTGTGTTTCCCCCCCCCCTCCACCTCCCATTCAGAAACTTGAGTTCGGCTCTAGGTTCGATGTCCCCGACTACGTCTTCACAGATCTTGGCCAGGAAAAGACGGAGAGGCGTGAGTCTCTTTTTTTTGTTTGTTTTGTTTTGTTATTAACAGAAAGAGACATCTTTCTTCTCTTTGGAATTAAAATCGTAATGGGAATGGCCTTTGTTTTGCCTGCTTTCTACAGATCATTGAGAAACGCCGACGAGACCGGATCAATAACAGTTTGTCGGAATTGAGGCGGCTGGTACCCAGTGCTTTTGAGAAGCAGGTAATGGAGAAAGTAGGTAGAGCCCTCAATGTAGCTACTACGCCTTTTCCTCGTTACTCTGAATCTCATTCTTGGATTGAAAAAATAACCTTTAAAAATAATCTGTATGGAGACAAATCCATACAGATACCAACGTATTTTGCAAGGACAATTCATTATACTTTAGCCTGTACTTTTACGATTTACAAAGCATCTCTTTCTCCCTCTCTTTCAGTTTGTGTGTGTGTGTGTGTGTGTGTGTGTATTTAAGTTGTTCCCCAAATGATTTGGTGCCACATTTGGTGTTCTCTTCTGTAGGGGTCGGCTAAGCTGGAAAAAGCCGAGATCCTGCAGATGACTGTGGATCACCTGAAAATGCTGCATACTGCGGGAGGAAAAGGTATTTACTCCTTACTATTCCTGGTGAGGCCCCTGAGTGGGGTGCAGTGAGCGACTGCTGCCAGTCAGGATTGGTGCAGGTGCTGCTTTATTTGTACTGTGTGCCGTGAGGTGGAAAGCAAATGGTGTGTGGTGTTAACCTGCCACTGCATTTTCAAATGCACACTGGATTTCCCCTAGTAAATCCATCACCCTAGCCCTCTGCAAATTAAGCTAATACACCTTCTTTTGGAGATCATCTAGTGTATGAGGTGCCCTAAAGTTGTGATAGACCCGAATAAAATCAGGTAGCTCTGACCGCATTTGCTCATTGCCATTTGCCATTTTGAGAAAGAGCTTTAAAAAAAAAAAAAGTACATGGTCTCAATTTTAAAATTAAAAAAATGAGTTGCCACATGACTCTTGAGGAAAGAAACCTGTTGTGGTTAAGTAGAGAAAACCCAACAGAAGGTGGGAGACCAAGGCCTGTGTATCTGTCTCCAGCCAGAAAATGCTTTACTGAGGACCAAGCGCCTAAAAGCTCCATGATGATAACTTACATCTGTGTGTCTAATGAATTTCACTGCTCTGTGGTTTCTCTGTCCTTGATGTATTTTTTGTTGTTGTTGAGGGAAAACATTAAAGGAATGAGCATAGTTTCATCTGCTGGTAGGGTATAATTCCAATTTCTGCTCGGCAGCTTCTAATTGGGCTTTGAACTTGCATTAGCAAACATATTTCTCTTGTTGATTAATGCAAAGATTTCGGTCGACTCCAAAATATTTGGACTTTCAGAAGAAGCCATGAATGCCTTTTTTTAAAAGGATGTAGGTATTTGCCAAGAAGGGCTGCCAGGGAGTAAAGAAATGCTGGAAATGAGCGAAGCCCTGAGGTTTTTCTTTTGTTCTTTTCTCCAGGCTATTTTGACGCGCATGCCCTTGCTATGGACTATCGGAGTTTGGGGTTTCGGGAATGTCTGGCAGAAGTTGCCCGTTACCTGAGCATCATTGAAGGACTAGACGCCTCTGACCCGCTTCGAGTTCGACTGGTCTCGCATCTTAACAACTACGCCTCCCAGCGGGAAGCTGCGACCGGCGCCCACGCAGGCCTTGGACACATTCCCTGGGGGGGCGCTTTCGGACATCACCCGCACGTCGCGCACCCCCTGTTGCTGCCCCAGAACGGCCACGGGAACACTGGCACCGCAGCCTCCCCTACGGAACCACACCACCAGGGCAGGTTGGCCTCCGCACATCCGGAGGCGCCCGGCTTGCGAGCGCCCCCTAGCGGCGGCCTTGGACCGGTGCTCCCTGTGGTCACCTCTGCCTCCAAACTCTCGCAGCCCTTGCTCTCCTCCGTGGCCTCCCTGTCAGCCTTCCCCTTCTCTTTGGGCTCCTTCCACTTACTCACTCCCAATGCACTGAGCCCTTCGGCACCCACGCAGGCAGCAAACCTTGGCAAGCCCTATAGACCTTGGGGGACGGAGATTGGAGCTTTTTAAAGAACTGATGCTGTAGGATGAGGGAGGGGGAAGTATAAATCCCAGCTGAGCTGGGCTGTTGCCAACATCACCTTAAGGTCGTCAGTAAAAGGAAAAAGGAAAAAGGTACACTTGCAGATAAATCTTGTTTAAGGACTAAAGGTTTGTTGGTTTAATTTTTCTTTTTTAATTTTTTTTATCGTGTTATGTACCAGCAGTTTAAAAAAAAAGTAGTTGTTGAGTTCTGTTTCTGACATTAATTTGCAATAGCGAGTATAAACCAACACTGGATGATAGGTTTGTACTGTGCCTAATTTACTTTGTAAACCTATCTGTCTAGGAATGATTCCATTTTTTGCCTCAAAGTTTTGGGAGTTTTAACAATTAGTATTTTTGGTCAGTTTTTCTTGTGTAGTTACAGTCTGTTTTTAGAATTAATTTTCCAAGCCACTATGGTCAATGTTAACATGATGCTGTTTGTTAATATTTTGATAATTAAGGTGTTGTATAAATAATATTCTTTTTGGGGGTGGGGAACTATATGGAATTTTATATTTCTGAACAAAGCGTTGACAAATCAGATGATCAGCTTTATCCAAGAAAAAAGACTAGTTAAATCGCAGCGTCCTACTTCGCTAAGGTGGATATTGAAGCCATCATGGGTCCTGATTCCATGTTGACTCTCTGCTGTCTTGTGCCAGGTCCTACAATTCTGGCTTGAGCCAGGAAAGAGCCACTTGTAGGTTAGGTCCCCATTTGGAGTTGGTGGGGAGGAGACACTGAAGATGATCGTATACATTATGCCTGCGCTTATCAACCCCAAGCAATGAAAGGAAATTCTTATCTCATGGATCTCAAATTCATATATGTTAACATTGGATACGTGATCATGGAGTGCAAGTGATCAACCCAATAGTCCAGTGGAACCTGTTAAATGCATCACCTAATTCTTCTTGGAACTGTTCGTTTTCCTTTAACTGGAAATTTTTATGCTGTGTTTTCTGTTTTGGTGCATGGCAGCGTGGTTGCTGAGATATTTAAAAGATATTTCTCTTTTTTGGTTCTTTTGATTTGATTTGGGCTCTAAAAGCATCATTTTACAGCTTTATTTCTTTAGCAGGTGTAGTTTAAATGACCTCCACTGAATTGGGTTTGACCTCCATTGTACTGGTGTGCTGTGACTAAATAAAAAGAAAGAACAAACTATTCTGCTGTATATATGTCTTACGTACTTTGGCCTGCCTTCTATTGGCTAAGAAAAGAGAAATTATTTTGCCACTTTTTATTTTACCTGGTCATCAGTTTCTTATGTCTAACAATTTCATTATTCTTGAAATTCTAATTTATGCAAATTTGTGTTATCGAATAAAGGTGACTGCATCGTGCAGAACTTTGGACAGACTCCTGCCAAGGTCATAGCCTTTTAGCTGTTAGGTTAGATCATCTGGCCCTGAAATGGTCATTTATAGACTGAAAACCTCAAGCCAGACTAGGAGTTGGAAGATGGAAAAGACTCTGAAATCTTTTAAAACCATTTGACCACTGGAAATATATTTACTGAGAATATCCACTCTGTGTTAAGTTCTATGCAGAGAGAAGAGAAAATTTATTCCTTTTTTTTTAGGTGCAAAACAAAAACCAAACGTTGCTCTCTGAGACCCCGTGCAGGGACCCAGGAATCTGTGGCATGATGAGCAGTGGCAGGCTCTAATTCTGCACCTGCACAGCTCCAGGAGTCTCTCCTTGTTTAGTTTCCAAGAAATTCGTTTAACCCTTTAGTGGCATTTGACTCCTGAGTTGTGTATGGAGGAAGCTGATATATGGCTTTAGGTTAGAGCAAAACACTGCCAGGCGGTCAGAGGTAGTGATCTGGAGCCTAAGGGAGAGGAATGCCTTCCCATTGCCATAAAAGTAGTCCTCCTGACAAGTAGCTTTCTTCTAGCTTAGAAGGAATTTTCCTTGATCTGAAGGTGGTGGAAAAGGAGAGAGAAAACCTGGTCCAGCGGATGACAACATAGACCTTCCTCTTTGCTCAACCACTGAGTCCTCTTGCCTTCTCTGATGATAAAAAGAAAATGGGAAGGCAGAGAAGTTGCACTTTGAACTTGAGTGGTGACTCTGGGTCTCTATGAAGGGTATGGAGACTGGCCTTTTTGTAATCGGTTTCAAATGCTAGCTCCCGCTCAAACTTTTTCTATGTAGCCCCAGATGCCAGTGTTCTGGTGATCACAGCTCAGTTCTTAGTGGTGGCTGTGCCATCAGACACTTGCTGTCATAATGTCATGATGGAATATGATGGTAATTTCTGCCAAGTGTCAGGTTAATTTTAGCAACTGAGATTTCAAAATGGCATTACAGTATTCCTGAATAGCATCATGCTTAGACTGTCTTAGACTTTCTCAGTGGTACCTGGGTTCAGCTAGATGCTAATGTGGTAAGAAAGAACAAGGTCTCTCATTTTAATGACTGCTGAAAGAGTGGTAGAACATAGGACACTGTCATTTTCACTTGCGTGTCAGTGATGCCAAAACCATGATTCGGATAGTGCTTTTTCCTTTTTCTTGGAGGCTGTGGGAATCACTTTCAAAATCACATATTTTCAAAGAAATATTTTGGTTTCTTTTTAAACCCGTTCAAAGTGACAGTTTTCTAAAAATGGTGCAGGAGATGTCAGAGATTCCCAGGAAACAGGATGGAATTATGATAAGCCCAGCGGTATGGAGGAAAATGAATGTAGAAAAATTTCCTTCTGGATTGATGCAGTTAGAATAAAAAGTTAACGTCAGGATAATTAGAGCCAGCATTGTCATATATATGTTTGTTTTTAAAAAAATTTTATTTATGCATACAAGAGCTGGGGTACAGGCCAGAGGGCAGAGAGTAAGAGAATTCACCAGAGACACATTGGGGAATAGAAAGCCCAATTGACTGAAATACACTGCTGAGGGGAGTAGCAGCTGAGGCAGGAGAGCTCTGCTGTGCCCTGTGGGTCAGCAACCTGGCCTTCAGGGGATCCAACTCTTGCAGTGCTGCAGTAGCTGTGGATAGCCTCATAGTGCTTCAACTGAACCCCTTGTGCCACCAGGGAAGCCCTCATATATATGTTTATAACACTTCTACTCATGTAAACAAAATATTTTTAAGTGACTCAGAAGTTTACCTTATGGGACAAATAATTATCACTAGTGATAAAGAATCTTGAAAGTCCTTAATAACCACCCACTTATTTTCATTAAATGTATTATCATGAATTAATGAAATGGTAGAATCCTGCATCAAATTAATCTCTGAAAGAAAAGTCCAAGACATATTTACAATTTATTCAGTATATTTAAACTAGGATGTGATTTTTTTTTTTTAATAGAGGCATGCTTTATTTATTTGTTTGTTTGTTTGGTTATACATGCACTGGGTACAGTCAGAAGTGCGGGAGGGTGAGAGAATTCACCAGAGCCAGAGCGGGGAGCAGAACAGGCAGAAGGACCGAAGTACACTGCTGAGGGGAGCAGCAGGCGGCAGGAGAGGTCTGCGCACCATGCGGGACCCTCCACCGGTGGTCGGGGAGCAGCCGGGGATCGAACCGGCGCTGCAGAGGCTGCGGGCAGCTTCGCAACCCAGCGCTCAACCGCTGCGCCACCGGGGAGGCCCTAGGATGTGATTTTTATTTAGCTTCTCTTCCCACTCCACCACCCCCATTACTCATTAAAATCATATTTTAAATATGGATTACTTAAGTTTAAAATTTCTCAGGAAATGTTATATATCCTGGTTATGCTATCCCCAGGCCCTTCTGGTCTATACCAATAACATATCATAGCTTTGATGACTTCATTAGTTTCCAATGATGATTTGTAATTAAAATAACAACAGAGCCTCCTGTCTGAGCCCTGCTTCAAATGTGGCTGACTTTCTCAATCAGAGCCCTGGGGGATGAGGCTGTTTTGGGAAGAGCACCTGCATTTTGTTTCCCGATGCACTTTTACGTAGTTGAATGGCCTTGGGTAAGTCATTTAACATTCTCTGGATTCTGCTTTCCTCATCTGTCCTATAAAGCGGTTGGACTAGGTGAAAGCCTGGTCCACACTCACAAGGACGGTCATGAATGGGGAAGAAGACGGGTAGAGAGGCTGGAAGGCAGCCAAGTAGGATGCCTACTAGTAGACACAGGCTGCCAGCACCTTCTGTTGGGAGGGTCAGGCCAATTGTCTCCAAGCAGTAATTTTGGCCCAGTGTAGCCAGACCTTTCAAGTTTTCAAGAGCATCTCCAATTTTTTATAGGTTACCAGCAAGACTGGGCCAATGGGTTGCAGACATTGCTCAGTTTCTTGGGCTTTCATCTAAATGTTTCTCTGCGGGCTAGGATCTTCTCTCTCTTTCTCTCTCTCTTCCCCCCTCTCTCTCAGATTTATTTATTTATGCATACAAGAACTGAGGTACAGGTCAGAGGTATGGGGTTGGGGGGCAGTGAGAGGACTCACCAGAGACAGAGTGGGTAACAGAACAGGTGGATCTACTGAAATACACTGCTGAGGGGAGCAGCTGGCAAGACAAGAGAGGTCTGCTGCGCCATGTGGGTCACCTCCCTGCCCGGGATTGAGCTCATGCTGCAGTGGCTGCAGTGGCTGCAGATAGCTTCATAGTGCTGCGTCTTTACCCCTTGGGCCACCAGGGAAGCCCCTGGGCTAGGATCATCTAACATCCTTGTCGGGCCTGGTCTTTGAATATGCTTAATGGATGAGCACACAGCTAATACAAAATAAATAATTAAGTAATTAGACGGCTGTAGGCGATGCCTTATAAAGACTATCCTATGAAGATAATGGAAAGAACTTTTTTTCTGGGTTGTCAAATTTCCTCAGAGAGAAGTTAAAATTATTCTTTTTGTTCTAAGTCTGGACACTTCTCAGGAACATTTTCTGAAGGTTTCTTGACTTGGTCCCTGTATTCACATTGCCAAAGAAGAAGATGAGGTCTCAATCTGGGGCCTTAAAATGAAAAAGCAAGTGTGTAGCTCGCTGGTGACTCAGCACCCTGAAGTCCGAAAAGGCGCCATCTGATTTCAGGAAGTTAAGAGGTTCCAGCAAAAAAGCAAGCTGTTTTGAACCTCAACTTGAAATATAATGCCTGCCTTGATCTTGATGAGCTGCAGGGCTTTTCACTCAGAAACTTCAGTGTTCTGCTCCGGGAGGGGGCAGGGAAAAGGAAGAGAGAAGCAAAGAAAAAGAAACCCAGGCCTTTAGTTTTGAGCTGTGTGGAGGTATTGATGGGTGTTTGCCACAGAACTGTTTCCCCAGGGCCACAGCCCCAGAGAAATCTGAGGTAAATGACTGTCCCAGGGTGGGTCTGAGGACTTGGGCAGGTTTCCAGATTTCATGTCTGATAGACTGTCATTTACAATCATGCTTCTTTACAGTTCTGTCAAATTTCCCACCATATTATCCATTAATGTGAATGAATGCTTTTCGTTAAGCACTTTATGTTGTTTTGATATAGACTCAAATTCAAAGACCACGCCAAAATTTGAACTCCTAATCATTCCTAGCAGCTGTTATATGGTCTATAGCTTGATTTAGCAAAGAAAAAAAAAAAAGAATTAAAAGTATCATATTAGTCAGAAAGAGACTGCTTATTCCCCCTGAGTTGATTACTGAAAATTTTCTGAAGCTACTTTAAATTTAAAATTTTTTTTAATATCCCCTCTGGGGCATAATTTTGTTTCTGGTGTACAGGAATGTTTCAGAAAGGTGGAATCAAATCATAAAATTAAAGAATGTTGTATCAGGCCTTTAATCATCCTCTCTGACATTGTTGCCTACTTCTTTCCCCTCAGCTCTGCTGCAGCCACATTTAATTCCTGCTGTTGCCCCTCAGCTATGGCCACTTCTGCCAAAGCACCCACAGTCCTCTACCATAGTCCATTGTGCTCTTCTCTCCCTCTGTTTTCGCCCCTCCCTTTTCTTTTCCCCACCCCCTCCTCTTCTGTTTGCCATGGTCAGCTTCCAAGAGTTAGTTTTAAAGTTTGTCTTTGACCTATTGTTTGATTTCTCTATATTATACAATAAAAGTGTAATATAGTAAAGTGAAGCCATCCAGTATTATCTCTCTCCTGATTTATTTCACTTAGCATAATCCCTTCCAGCTCCATCCATCTTGACACAAATGGCTGAGTAGTAATCCATTGTATGTATATCACTTCTTTTTTT